ACCTTAGAGATGTAGTGACGAAGCCCATTGCACGCTTAGTGGCAAAGCGGGCCCGCCACGGTGGTGAGATCTTGTCAGCTGGTGAGGGAAGCCTTGGAAGATGACAAAAATAGATGGCAGAAATACGTCATCTATATTTGGGCCAATCAAAGAGGTGTGCTAGGTGCTCGCTGCAGCTTTATATATTTGGCTTTTAAACTTAGTCATATTTTTCCATAACAATTTATTTAGGCTAGATCTGGTTTAAAAAACTTTTCTTCACAGCACTTCCCGGTTCTCGCACACATTTTTCAAATGCACTTTCACTTATTACTTATGGCCTACGTCACAGCTCACCGTACCAATGACACTTTTTCATGTGGCCAAACTTGTTACGAGAAATTAACCAGCTGCCATTATGATTCACAGTTCTTTTGAATTTTATTGTCTTATTTTAGCAGGATTAATGGTTGTTCTAGCCTGTGAACTCAGCTAACTAGTTTTTGGCAGAAAACATTTTTGAAGACTTCTTGATACAAGCAGTGTAATGAAAGAATAAACTGATGACAGGAAGGGGTGTGTTCATCATCATCATCATCAGCCTTTCTCACACTCTGATAGGGCACCAACAAAAGCTCACCATCTACTTCTTTCATCTGCTGAAGTCTCCACTTCTGTCCAATTGTATCTTATCTCTTTTTGGTCAAAATTTAAGTCCCTCTTTTTTACATGAATTAGGTTTCCCTCCCCTGTCAATTGTTTGGCCAGCGGTCAATCATCACAGAAGCAGGACCTACAGTTAGGAAAGTCTGTGTTCAACAGCAAATTGGGGTGAACAATGGACAGCTTGATTTCAGGATATGTCAGGTAAGTCTTTTATGTCACTGATATGTTTTCTTTTTTGTTATCAAAAAGAAAGGTTTCGTCATTTGCAATCTTAACTCCTTTTCTGGTTAATCTAATTTTCTTTCCCTTTCATTAGTTTAAAACTCATCATCTGTTTTTCAATAAGTGAACTTAGATTATGGGGAGTTTTCATTTCACATGACATAGTTTACAGTTGTTGTTTGCATTTTAGGACACTTTTTTAGGAATAGAATTAAGATTCAAGCGAGGTTTTTTTTTTTAAGTTATTGAACTCTTGCAACACTAGTTAAAGTAGGCCTGAATTTGTGGGAGTTTTTTTTTGTTTTTTTGTTCTTAAACTGATTTCCCAAAGAATGTACAGGCATGTAACTTTATTTGCTCAGATTCAGAGGCTTGGATTATGTCCGAAATTGACTTGTCTTGTTTTGCTACCAACATCTTTTACTTGTTGTTTGTTTGTGTGACTTCTACAAAATTTAATGAGGTTTTTATAGAGGTTATAACATATTCTACAAAACATGTTAATGAAATCAAGTCTTTATGCTCAAACTCAACTGTTAATTACTTTTAAAGTAGGGATTAACTGTACTCGTAATTATTAAGGCACAATTTGTCAATCTATGTGGAGGTTGAAGGAGGGATATTGTTTTTCATACAATGCTTCAATAGCTCTTACCATGTAAAGTATTGAGTTTTTACGGTAACTTTTTACCTTTTATTAGAGTTGCACAGCCAATGTTCATGATTCTGTATTGTGGCAGATGTTATTTTTAAATGTGTTCTAAGCTTTGATTTATGTCCAGTGTTTGTCCATGTAGGTTTGGTAAGAACATTTAAAAATGTTTCTGCTTCCTCTAACATTTCGTTTGAGCTTTTGTTTTAAGAAAGGAAACTTATGGTGGCGTTGAAGGATGAAGGTACGGTGTTGAGACATTAAATTTTCTTGATTATTTATTCTCATGAATGCTTGTCGTTTGTTTTTCAGCAACGTCATATGTCAAACAAGAACTTCTTCCAGACAGTCATTGATAACATCAGACAGGACATGAAAAAGAGCAAGGAAATGAAGGTATTGTCAATTTATTTTTTCCAATCTTTTAAACAGAAATAAATCGTTGTTTTGGTGGTGTTGACAGCTTTTTTCATTGTGGCTGCCTTTTACAACAGTCTATACCTCTTTTCTTAATAAATGTTCGAAATTAAATGTTCATTATTTACAAGCCAAGGAGGGATTTTTTTCTATTTCTATGTTCTTTGTATTGTTCAGCTCTCAATTCATCTGACTGTATTGATATATATCTAGATACAGTATATATATATGTATGAGTCTGCCGGTATGCATGTATGTATGTTAATGAGCAAGAGTGTGAATTATGAGGGCTTGTCTTCAGGTTTGGGTCTCTGACTTTTAAAAATATATTTGAACTTAGTGTTAGATAGTCATTACCTTTTTCTGAAGTGAAGTCTAGCCGCCATCTGTGCTACTTTGCCGTCGTTTGCAAGAGACCCGAGATCGATTCCCGAATGAGGAGAAAATTTTCATGAGTATCTCGGTCTCTCTCCTGGGTTGTTGTATCACTCTCAGCCCGGGTTGGCTCTGACAGGCAGGGTCAGAAGCATGTCTCCTAAATGTGTGCATGTGGGTGTAAAACACTGAATATCATTGAAACGTACCTTTTTTACTGCGTACTCTGTCTTTAACATCTTCTTTTTTTTTGTTTGATATCAGGAGAGTATAGAAAAATTCAAAGAGGAAACACAGAAACTGGAAGAATCTGATGCTTTAAAACAAGCAAGGAAAAAATTTGTAAGTGAAGCATGTTTGTTTTGTGGTGTGTAAATTTTTTGTTTTGACTGTAAACAAATAGTGAATCAAAATGTGATTATGTTTTAAGCTGTAGATAACTTTGTTTTTAGTGTTTTTACTAGGTGTTGGCCGTCCCATACTGATATTGATATTTTTGCAGTCATATGATTATTTTTATTTATTTATTAAAGTCGTGTTGGGTTTGTGCACACTGCCAACTTTATTGAACCTCTTATCGCTACCTCAGAATAACAAAGTTCTATCTGACATTTTTGGTCGTTTTGAGTTACTGAACCATGAGGTGAGAAACCAAATGGTCTACCTGTTCTATCAAAATCGTAAGAGTCATTATCAAGATATTTTAAGAATCGTATGCGTAAAAGCTTGACATGATGTGAAACTCAAAATCTTTGACGTCAAATTTCTTAAAACTAGGTTCTGCGCAGATAGAACTTTTGTAATTCTGAGGTAGCATCATGGTTGCCTACAAGTAAAGTGACATAAATTATTATTTATAGGTTCCTTGACTTGAGAATAATTTTGACATCTTAGAGGTTTTAAGTGGTTGAATAGCAGAATGTCAGCTTAATTGAATCAAAGTTTTGATTGTTATTTTGCTTATTGACAATTTTGTGAGAAGTAGCAGCCGCTTATGGTACTTTTGTCATTATTGTTTAATTAAGAAAAATGAAAGGTCTCTACAGTTGTGTTCATTCTGTTTCACATATCTTATTGAAATGACTTGAGTGAGACATGATTGTATTAGCTCATAAACAGGGAGGTAAAAATGGAATTGTTTTAATGATTTAACAATGGGCGTTCCATTATGTCTGAATAGTCTATGGTATCTTTGTTTTGCTTTTTCCCTCAAGGAAAGTATAGAGGAAGAGACTCTGAAAAGTTCTACAGCCATCAAAAAGACCCTTGATGACATCAAAGGAAAGGTCTCAGAGGTGAGCTAAAGGCCATCATTCAGTTTTGAAGGCATATCATCATAGATGACTTTATGTGCAATTCCTCTTTTGAACGTTTATAATACTCTTTACATTTTCTCATTTTTCTTCTTTTTTTTTTTGAAACAGGGATTTAGTTACGGATATTTGAAACAGGAATTTAGTTATGCTTAACTGATATTTATGTGCATAATTCATTATTATTCTCTTTCTGTGTTCTCTAAGGTCTTGGCGTTTTTACATTTAAAAAAGTCTGTTTACATGTTGAAATGCCGAGGGATTTAGTTATGACTCAACATCTTGATCTAATTCATAAATATCTGGCTGTTCCCGTAATTGGGAAAAAAATCATACAAAATGTCATGGATTTTGGACACCTGACAGGTGATGTGATATATAACATTGTCTTAAATACATTTGCAGTTGTAAAATGTCGCAGTTAATCAAGCAGAAAGTAAACAAAAGGACATTCTAAGCTTTAGTTGGTTACGATGCTTTCTGAAATGTGCTATCCTGAAAACTTGATCTGCTCCACCCATTTTAAAACCGTCCTGCCATCCCAGTATTTTTTCTTATTTATTGTTGCTGAAATAGTAACTTACAAATCTCATAAATAGACTTTGAGAGATAAGATGTGAGATTTCATGGCTGTTAACATTGGTTTGACTGTTTAGAAACAAAGCTTTAAAATTTTGCTCTTATAGAGTTCTGTCTTCATGTGCTGTACACCAGACTTTATTTCCGGGCAGGGATGTTATAAAACAACCCAGGAGTGGGGTTCCTTTCAACTTGAAGCAAAAGGAACAGATTATTTGATTTCAACCAAATGAGAATTCAGTGCATTTATCTAACAACACCTCACTCCCCTGTTGATGGTGAGCGCTCATGGATCCTGTTCCTGAAATATCCACGATGGTAAAAAATAGGGCAGAAATTATAATGCTTGTGCTTGCCTTTTTTTCTAGATGTTTATTACAAGTGTTAAATGATGGTGTGTTTTGTTCATTTCAGACAGTTGAAGAAGCCCAGAAAAAGGAATTTGTCAAGAAAGGCATTGACATGACCAGCTCAGCAGCCTCAAAAGCTGCAGAAACTATCACAAAGTCAAGCCAAGCAATTGCTGAAAGTGATGCATTTAACCAGATCAGTAAGGTAATCATTTTTTCCCTGTTATCCCCTGCCTTTGTGTCCCATTAAGGGGGCAGGCGGGTCTTTCTAAACTAGTTTTGGGCTCAGATATCAATTTTTGGGAGCATACATATTATGTCTGTAAAATTACTCTTCTTTTTATTCCCTGTAATTGTAAGATGAAGTAGTATCAAAACTGACATTAAAACATCCTGTGTCCTTGGTAACGAGCCAAAATGGTACAGAAATGTTTATGAATGCCATGTTATTTGACTATGGCAGCACGCACCATTGTCATTTGTAGACGGATATTATGCTGTCAAAGTCAACTATTTTGACGGAGCGATTTTTGGGCTGGGCATGAGAAGTGAAGAGCGGTTGAGCATGTCCAGTGTCTCCTTGTCAGTACCACAGTATCAAACCCTTCAAAATTCATCTTGATTTTCTGTCTGAAAGGGATTATGCTGAGTGGAGCAGGATGAATCTGCAATGCTTTTCAGGACATGTCTAATGTAGCCTCTTTTGGACTGAATGTTTATTGTACTTACTTGAAGAAGTTTAAAAAAGAATATTCTTTTGTATTGGTATTGTGTTTCAGGGTGTGAAGGCAGCTAAGGAGGAGTTTGATGAGGTCACTCTCTCAAGGGCAAGGCATTACAAGGCTCCAGGTGAGAAAAAATAGTTTTAGAGACAAATCTGCTGATTTTTGTCTCTCTGTTAATTAACATTTTTTTTTACTCTCTAGGGGTCCTTTAGTCGTTAACTGGGTTTGTATTCCGGTATCTCATAAAAATTTTGTTATTCAAAAGTTATACAACACATCATTAACAACTATCATTAAAAGGCACGTCATACTGATTGTGTTTGACCCACAGTTAACTTGTCAATAACATGGCACTTCAGAACTCTGATCAGACAATTAGACACCTCACTAGCATATGCATGTTATAGATTTACTCACAGAATTTAAGGGTGGATTTTCCTGTTAATAATATGTTTTTGTTAATTCAAATTGCACTGGAACAATAAGTGAGTCTGTAAACTTTTGTGTTTACTTTTGTTTGTTACTCTTTTATTTTTGGACAGTTTTTATTTTAGTAAAAGTTATTTCAAAGAATGTATGTGAGTGTCTGTTGTGAGATTTTCCCTTCGACTTTCCCCGTGGGATCCCCCTTTTTCATTTTTGTTGCATATCAGTGTTAACATTTTATAAATGATGTACCATCGAAATTTCTTCATAATAATATTTGGTGAGGTGTGTTTAATGTTTATGTTGTACAGCATCTAGTTTGCTTGAGAGAAAGAAAAGTTTGGAACTTACTATTTACATGTTTTTTTTTCTTAAAGAAAACAAACAATCATATTTTTCAAATGTCAAAACACGTTCTTTATGCAGAAAAATTGAGAAAAAGATCTGATACATCTGCAAGGCCGAAAGATGGGAGAGCAGTGGAGGCAGATGAGTGAGTATGGTTTTTTATGGTTGTTTTTGAAGTGGGTGATACATTCCATTGCCTTTTTCAGCACTGTTAGGCCTTCAGTAAGAATGGTCCCAAAAGGCATTTCTCTGTAACAATGTATATTTATGTTGTAGATCTTGAGTCGATAGGATAGACAATATAATAGATCTGGTTTGTTCTAGCTTTTCAGCCTCGATCTTGCTAAACTTGGATTGCAGCATGAACTTGCTAACAGCTCGGGAGGGAGTTTGGTGTTATGGACGTGGTTTAAATGATCAGAATTAAATGTTCTGGCAGAGAGAAAAGTTGCAGGAGACAAAGTGTTTTAGCAACATTGTGGGGCTGACTTGTTTGGCCATGATGTTTTGATCAGAGCGTGACTACAGTTCCTGAAATGAAACTTGGACAATGTCACAGTTTTCTATGGATGTACTTTTGTTTTGTTTTTTGGAATTGAGGTTTGCTCACTCATTTCGTACAATTCTTGTCCATCAGAGAGTCAACCGGCATGGTTCTTCACAAAGATTCAAAGTTTTATCAGAGCTGGCAGAACTTCAAAGACAACAACCAATATGTAAATAGTAAGTTATTTTCTTTTTCTATCTTCATGAGTAAAACTTTTAAATGTCTTTACAGTCTTTTGTCGTGTTGTATTGTTTTTTGGGAAGGGTTTTTAAAAAAACTTTTTGTCTAATTTTGAACTTTTCCAACATTTTCTTGTAATTGTAATGCTTCAAGAAAATAAAATAACTTGCTAAGTTATTTGACACAACTCTTTATTTACAGTCAGAATATCACTTTTCAACTTGGTAAAAATTTCTGTAACATGAAATGTTTGTGCATATTGTAACTTGGCATAGCCTATTATTTTATATAAGAAATTGTATGGAAATGACTCTACTCTCGGACAATCTCTTGATTATTATGTGAGAGAGAAATCATCCCCAACATTTTGAGTACTTGAAACATTCTGTAAACTGTTACATTTTTATGTCTCTTTCAGAACTGTTTGACCTCAAAGTGAAGTTTGATGAGAGTGACAATGTAATGATAAGAGCTACCCGGTTTTTCACGGATAAAGTTGGCCAAGTGTTTGGTAATCTTAATTCTTTTGTATTGTTGATAGTATAGAATGTGTTATATTAATTTATATTTTAAAGTCATTTGCCTCATGGTACAGTCCATGCCGGCTTTAAGCACGGTCACCGGGAGAAAGCTTAAGCGTGCTTAATGCCGAAGCGTGCTTGAGTTCGAAGTAGACATAATCCAGAGATTTTCATGTAGAAAATTACCTGTGCTATTTCCCTTCATTTGTAATTAGGCCTATAGCGGTCTCTCAAAAGTGTGCACTGTTATTTTTACCCGCCATGGTAGTTTTTGTTTGCCTGTTTGTTTTTGTTTTTTGGTTGAATGGGAAATAAAAAAAACTTAATTGAGACGACCAGTCACGATACAGCACACTAGGCCTACACTCTGCCTGTGCGTTAGTACTGGCCGCTGTGCCACATACATACCACCGCCTTCATCCCACCTCACACGTGATACACAATCAGGATTAATGGATAGCGAGGGTCAAAGGTAAAATTGCAGCCAGCCTCCATTTCTCGTCTCCATGACTCTCTTTGTATTTTTCATCTGTGTGTAGCTTTGCCCTAGGCTAGATCCTATGTGCATTCTGCACGCGTGTGTCTCCATCACTTGCGTTCTTTGTGTTTCTCTTAACACACTCACTGCTGTGGTGTAGACTGTGTTCGAACTTCGATGGGTCATCAAGAAAGTGTTGACTGTCTTGTAAATGAAGCGTGCCTGAAGCCGAAGTTACCATGCTTAAAGGCGTGTAATTTATACAGCAAAATTTCGGTAAGATCCGTTTAACGTGCTTGAGTCCAAAACATGCTTTATGCCAGCGTGCTTAAAGCCGGCACGGACTGTATAGATAATCTATAGTGTATCTCAAAACAGGAATTACAAAGTTGCGAGAGAATTGCATTACGATGATAGCTGCTGGCTCTTTTTCCATTTACATATATGCATAATTTTATTTTAGTGAACATCTTGTAGCTTAGTCTGTTTTTAGCTCTGGGAGTTTGAGTAAAAGTCAGGTCGGAGCATGGTACGGTGCAGCTATATTTTAACGAGTCTGTTTATTATGGGCTATTCATTTGTATGTATGAATCTATATTTTTTCCCCTCATACCATGTAGTTTTGCTGTTTATCAATGAAGTCTGCAATTAGATTTTGTCAGTTAAAGGTAAAATTGCTCTTGGTTTATTTATTCAAATAGCTGTGGAAAGATTGTACATTGCCAGAAACTTTTGTTTTGATACTTCAGTTCTTGTGCTGGAGCTTCCTTGAATTTGCAGCTGGAAAATACTGGTTGCAGAATCAAAAGGAAAGGATCTGCAAGATAAGCAAGCGACTCTCTGTAGCACTTGGACTGCATTTTAATTTGCTCAGGATTTCCCTTAGGATTTCATGTTTATATGTATAGTTGTCAAATCTGTTTGCTTTCATTTAAAAAAAATTAACTGGCATATTGGGTTTCTGCAAGTCTGAGACTTCAGTGAATGAAATTGTGTGCATGTAGCACAGGATGATGAAGTAGTGTTACATCTGTTACTTCATTGTAATGTTACTGATTTCCTCTGGTACCATACTTTTCTTTTTCATCCATACAGGTGGCATGTTCTCAAAAACAGAAATGTCTGAAGTCTTGACAGAAATTTGCAAAATTGATCCCAATTTTGACCGAGAGAAATTTTTGAGACTATGTGAGAGAGAAATCATCCCCAACGTTCTTGAGGTAAATAGACTAAAGTAAATTCAGTAATATCATGCATTAAACAAGCTTTGTTTTATCTTTAAAAATACTCTGCAGTTCTAGTTTAATTGAGTTTTTTTGTTGATTATCCTATTGTGAAATATGTGTCTGTTGTTTCTCGTGCTCATAAAGAGTTTTTGAATATTATCAGATACAGTTTGAAATGGTTATCTTAATCTCATACAGTGGAGTCCACTTATAATGAGTCCTGAAATAACAATAAATCTTTTATAAAGACACTATTCTAAAATGCCGTTTTTTCCCTTCTTTAGTTTTGTAAATAAAATACTGCTATTGTGCAATCAGACAGTCACGCGAGTCGGTTATAACGGAATATTGCTGCTGCTGTGCACAGCGCACAGACCTATTAAACATAATATAAAACCTCGCCAGTTGAGAAACTTCTTAGTGATCCAGCGAAACAAAGAATGGGGGAGCCCACGCGAACCAACAATGAAGGTCGGAGCGAATGAGTGGGGAGGGTGTGGCATGCGCAGACAAACAGAACGCATCGCGTGATAAGCCAGCCCAGTCTAGATTATCTAGGCCTAGCCTACCATGCCTCTCACTTCATTGGTGCGGGATTGAGCGGTCACAATGCTTTGATAGATGGAGTGAATGTGTGACGTGCGCAAGCAGACGCAACACACTAGGGGGTGTGGTGGGGTGGGGGATGACACAGCGGGCGAGTTAGCCTAGAGCCAGAGCCCCTTCTTTTTGATCACCAACGCCGAACTGTCAACATTGCTTGTGCTAAAGAAAGAAACCTGATTCGATTTTTGATCAAGTAAGACCTAGAGATCATGTTGAACAAAATCATCATCAGGGAAAATACAAAAAGGAATAAACAGAACACATAACTCATAGATTAGGCCTATTTTACTATTTATCTTGAATTTATTACTGGATCCCTTATCACGAGAATCCTGCTATAACGGACATTTCGCACCGGTCCCCTCCCTCTCGTTATAACATGATTCCACTGTATGGTTGAGGAGATATTTTAATGGTTTGAAGAGGATATGGCTCTTATTTGTCAGTCAGATCAGAGAATAGTTACCTCAGCAGATTAGCAGGGTTTATTTTTTTCTCTGTTGTACTAAAGTAATTAATCTATTATGTGAAGAGCTTTTTTCTTTATCTTGAACAGGCAATGATCAGAGGTGATCTGGATGTTCTAAAGGACTGGTGCTTTGAAGCTGTGAGTATTTTTTTCTGTTATTTATCCTTCATCATCCTGGACAATTGAATACCTATTTGTGGGTGGTTGACAGGTGCTCTGGTGTGGTTTGCTTCTTCTTTCCTATCAAACATCTATTATCTTTATCTCCCCTCCTTCTTTTTTATGTTTGTTACTCTCTTGTAACACCTCTAATCTTAGGCACTTATATGACCTTATTGTGTTGCAAGTGCCGTAAAACTCTTACTAAAACTAAAAACTAGAATACCTATTTTTTTTTCCATTGAAAGGGAGGGAGCCACCAACATCATTAGTGATGTTTTTTTTATAACTTCATGGTTTTTTTTAGCATTTGTAAAAGACATGCATGGGTAAAACAAAACAAAAATAAATGAGGAATGCTAGATATACAGTGACAAAGAGATATCACTCTTTCATGTGTGATTTTAGAAAGGGAAGATTGATCTTTTAAAGTTTATCGCTCATCCATAGATTTTAGGCTATAGAATGGTTACTGTTTTTACAGCACTTTCATAGTTTTTTACCTCATGATCTTTTGTAGCATCACAATGGGTGAATAGAGCAGTTCCCACTGACTTACGAGAACAATGAGCTTTTCAGTAATGGCCAGTCATATTCTTGAAGTGGTCACTCTCACATTTTCTGTTGTTCTTTCCTGTCCAATAGCTATTGTCCTTATCTTTCCTTCTTCTGTTCAAGTTGTATGTTATTTTCTAGTAAAACTTCTAATCTTCAGCACATAAATGACTTACTTGTGTTGCAAATGCTGTAAAACTTTTACTAAAATTAATGCTAAAACATTCCCTGCTCCCACTGAAAAAGAAGGTGAGGCATATGATTGGGGCAGCCACTTAGATCCTGCCTCCGTTGTTGCACATCGGTTACTGATCTAGGACATAGTCATAAATGAAAATGTGTGGCAGAGAAGCTTATGCATTTGCTGATTTTATATTTGTATTGTAATTTTAATCATGGGCTCATAGTTTTGTTTTTGTAAAGTGTTTTACGGCGCTCGCAACTGCATAAGGTCATATGAGCGCGCGGGACACACCTAATATTTTCAGTTGGTAGGAAATTTTGAATTTTGCCCGGGTGGCGGCCGAAGCCTACTCTTATTGATTTTAGACCACCAAGGGATCTTTAACGTGTGCAACTTGCACACGGGCTCTCCGAGATTTTTCGCCCTTGTCCGAGAAGGCTAGGTGTAGATCTTTCCTACCAGAAGATCAGGGGTGTGGCAGAAAGACAGCAGTAAGGAGGAGCCAAGGAGTAGCAGTAGAATGGCTGCAGAAAGAGTCAGGATCCCAGAGGAGGGGGCAAAGGAGGTGAAGGGGTGGGGGCAGAAAGTGGAAATGAAAGCAGACAACAGAACATTGCTAGAGAGCAGGAAAGGAGGTGAAAGGAGACAATTTTAGAGAAGAAAATTTTTCGGTCGCTACCCGGATTCGAACCCGGGACCTTTGAATGAGAGGCCAACACCTTAACCTCTAGGTCAGGAGAGCCCCCATGGGCTTATTTTTTTCTTAATAGTCTTTGTTTTTGAAATGCTGTAAGTTTTTTTATAAAGTTTTGCAATTGTACTTCAGTTCCTGGTACATGTTACTTGAAGTATGTCTCAACAGCACAAGTGAGCTTTTTTAGTGTCCGTTTTTGCGTTCAGGGGGTCATAATCCAGACTTTGTGCTTGAAAAATAAATCTTGTTGAAAAGTTATGAATTAAAATATCGAGCAAGGTTAATTGAAAGGATTTCCTCAAGTCTGACTATGATGGGTAGTGTGGATGACTCTATACATATGTTCACACGTGATGTTTGTTGGGCCCCTGATTCTCTGTTTGTCCTTGTTGTACTCATTAGTTTCTTTTTGTTTTGTTTCAGCCTTACAATACTCTAGCCCATCCCATAGAACAAGCAAAGAAGGCTGGCTATGTTTTTGATTCCAAGGTTTTAGATATTACACAAGTTGACGTGAGTATGGAGAGACAGTTTGGTCTCTGTGTAACATTATTTTGTTATTTTGTTCATTTTCTCGGTAAAATATTCCTAGCTCTCTGTAGTCACCTATGGGAGTAGTTAGTCTCCTTTGCAGAAACCAGAAACTTAACGTCGAAAGTTTCTGTTTAGCTTTTGTCATTTCGTATTGTTATGTCAGTTGGTTTTTAAATAAATTTCAAAAGTGTTGAAGGAGAAAATCCGACTCGCGTCTTAAACCTATTTCAGTTCCTCTTTTTCTTCTTACCCTGTCAAATTTTTCAATATATTACGTTTTTATTAATCAACAATGTTCAAAGAGCACTCTCATGTGTTTTGCTCATGGTCTCCTGAGCTTACAGAATTCAAGGAACTAAGTTCCCTTTGGTCAACATAAATTTATGAGGTATGCGTTGAATGTGCAGATGGAGTAAAGGTTGCACAGTCTCAGGCGTGCACCTGGGCCCATAAAGTGAAAAGCTAAGTTGGTTAGGGCACACAAAGTATGAAAATTCATGTGTAACAACAAACGTAATGACTTTTGTGAATAACCATAGTGTGAAGTATGATTATTTTCTTTTCCTTTTATTTCAACAGGTAGTTGCTGGCAAAATTATGGAGCAAGGCCCAGTCTTAGTCATCAGTTTTAATGCACAGCAGATACTGGTTGTCCGAGATGCAAAGGGTAGTGTGGTGGAAGGGGATCCTGTGAGTACCATATTATAATTTGAGTACTTTGTCATTGTTCTTGTTCTTGTTACAGCTGTGGCCGGGAATGTGACTCTAGCTCCTGCTAATTTTAAGGGGAGTTGAATGATTATGTCACAGTGTACAACTGAAAGTAGGTACCACAAGCGAAATTGTTTTTGAACAATATTGATGTTTAAACCTTAGGTGTTCAAATCTACTTAATAAAACAAGAACATTAAAAAAAAGAATTATCAAAATCCATCAATAAACAATCGAGATATGGTATTTCAAAGTTTTATTTTTGAACGAAACCTTTTCAACTGCGACTGTCACCCATGTTTGAGGTGTTGTAAAATACAAAGTGCATGGTCAAATTAATGAAAACTTTGTTTTTCCCAGAGATGTCAACACAAATATTGATATCTCTAAATCAAAGCATGTTAGAATGACTGGTTTCCAAGATATAGGCCTTCAAAAATTGAAAAAAAATGTCAAAATAGGCCATTATTTCAACCTCTTCCAAATTAGTCAAAACTGCCTCCCCATTAGTGAAAAGCACACAATCATTACAAATATATGCATAGACTTAGCTGAATTTTTTTCAGACCTCTCTGACGATAAGTAACTTTTCTGGGCTCCTCTGAAGTGGGCTTCGGGGCAAAAAATGCCCCTTGGAAAAAAATTAGGGGAACTCTGGTACATCGGTACATCCTCGGGCAAAAAGTATCACAACAAGTTCAAAAATTAAGCTACAGGGCTAAATCATACATCAAATTAAAGCTCAATGCAAGCTCTATGAGGCCAAATGAAAATTGTTTACTAAAACCTCTCACAACACTCAATAACAGGGCCCTAAAGCCCAAAAACCTGCCATTATTGAGTGAAAATCATAACGTCTGCCGACTGGAAAAAAATTCATATAAAATCAACAAATTGTGCTACAAGGCTGCATTATATATCAAATTAAAGCTCTTTTCATGCTCTGTAAGGTGAATAAGTTTATAGAAAGTAAAACCCTTCCAAACATTTCAGAAATGGACAATAATGTGAAAAAAGTAATCAATATTGGTTGAGAAAATTAAATGAAGATTTCTGCTCAGGGGGTTTAAAAATTTGAAGTAAATCAATATACTATCTACCGGGGTTCATCTTGTATAATATAGATCTAGTTCTAGATTTATTTATCCTAATTTAGCTGAGAAAGAAACCAGTGGCTGGGGAAATACAATTTATGCGTCCAGTAAGTGGATGGAAGAAGGGGGGGGGGGGGGGCATTTCTCCAATTATCAGGTGACATCTAAGTCTAACTAACTAAGAATAAATAAAAAAGAAAGACTGGTTAATTCAATAATTGAATATCCACCAATCAAGAACGTAGATCTAGCCTTTTTGTTTTATCAAATTAAATGCAAAAACAATAGATCTACGAACATTTCCATCAGTAACACTATAACACCCGGTAACCCCTTCCGAGTGTTTAGTGTGTGATGACATGTTACTATAAATAGAACTCCCAGTTCAACCATTCATGGCTTTATTCTTTCACTTTGTCGACCAGAAATGCTTGGATTTCGATGCATTTAGAATAAATAAGGTGTTCTTAGTTGAAAAGACAGCAAAAATACCACCATGAAGCGATACATTTGTATAGATCGCAATTAATTCACTATGAGGTGGTGGAAATGTAGGTCGGCGTGATTCCCACCAAACAATAACAATCCAACAACACGTCAAGTGGTGGCCTATTAGTCTTATTTTTTAAAACACGATATTCATAAGTATCCTAAAAGAAAATTATGATAATACCTACATAAATTGACGCCATGAACAGATCTATCGAATGTTTCTTTCACTGAACCATCATATAATCGTCTGCTGGTTGGGTCAAGTCAGAGGGGGTGGCAGTGGGCGATGGAACAGCCGCAATGGCAGAATGACGATCTCCCGAAAGTGGTTGTTACCCCACTTCAGAAAAAGTAATATTTCTACTTCGTTGAACGTAGTTGGCTTTTCTAAACACCTAAACTTGATAGTACAGATGTTTAGGAATATGATCCTGGCACGGATAGCCCGATTTGTGTCGAATTTCATATTTTAAAATGCTTTGTTCGTCTTTACATCGTACAACTCACGCTTTCCTCTCGGAATAAAAACATAAACACATTCCCCGGAAATTCTCCCGAAATCCCAGATTTTTATGTTTCAAACCGCAAGAAAATTCGATGATTCACGTCTGAGAAATCGAAATTTAAAACAAGCACCCCCCAAATCTAAGCGCGCAAAATTGCGAGACGGTTGAGTTTTCCCGTGTTAAACTTTAGTCAATTAAAAACTAAATATGCAATCATAAGTATCAGTTTCTCATTCACCATTAAGAAGGAAAGACACAGAAAACAGTGGTATCATTTTTATTAGTGTTTACAAAAATTAAAACCAGCTAATAGTTGGGTGAAGTTGTCCAAATCTGGCTTAAGCAGTGGCTGTCTGCCTTGAAAACGGCCCGCCTGCGGTACCTACGGAAAGAGGAATGTAGACCTATCAGTTGAAAAGTACCAAAAATTTAGTCGGCCAAGACAGAGCGGCGACAGGGAGCTGACCTCCGTGACCCCGACGTGATAAGGCGCCCTGCGGGGAACCCCCCACGACGACTAAAATTCCACTGCCGGTGCGCCGTGCAAGATTCCCCCATTTTTCTAAAATTTATTATTATCATCATCATCTGGTGCCTTACCGACTGGCGTGGGCGATCATGATTTATTATACGGTAATCAATAAAATACCTTGTATTCAAGGAACGCACTAGCAAACTTAGACTCAACAAAGCCACTTGTAGAATGAACAGCCCCCTCTAATGAGTGGCTTTGTGCATTTTTCTCCCACAACGAACCTTATGTACTCTATTCCATGGGGCTGTTGTTTATCCTGCACAGTAGATCATTATACATTTATTGTGTATCATACACTGTACACTATGATTGACCTATCAGAGACACGCAGCGATCTTGTGTGATTAATCAGAATTAGTCACACCTTATTTTATAATGAGCTCTGATATTCAGGAATCTTGAAGGTTGTGTCTGATGGCTTTGTAATATCGAGTTTCACTATACTGTGCCACCCAACTTTACACCGTGTCTCCAATTGTCTCATTTACCGTACTTTTAATTTGGTTCTTGTTCTCTGATAATTTATTAAAACTGTGTAAAAGGTACATATGTCATGATTGTTGCATACGACGTACCTGGTGCGTCATGAAAATGAGTAATTTTTAGCTTTGTAGGGTACCATGGACATCACGGAAGTTGACAAAATTTGCTGCTCCAGGTTGCCTAAATGACATTACATGTATGTCACGCTAATAACCTGGCTCTAGTTATTCTGTACGGAGTTTTATCCTCAAGCACTGAGTGGATTCGTATTTAGGAATAAAAGACGTGCACAATGGTACAAAATTTGCTAGTATTACTTTACTGTTGGGCTTGCAAGCGATTGATAAACACAGATCTAGGCTTGAGGGCGGCCGCACGCTCTCGCAAAATGTACACACTACAATGACTTTAAAAAGGCAAATATATTCCTTTTTTGGCTTAGATTTGCAATTTATTTGAAATTATGAGTAAGATTGGGGAGAAATGAGGAATGGGAGGTGTTAGAAAATTGACATGACCGAACTCCGGGGTCTGAAATAGTCACAAGTTGGCTAAAATTGCGCATTTTCATGACTATCAGGTACATTATAAGGCAAAGACAGGGTTAACAAGAGTATGCAGTCCCTTTGATGCATGGTGCAAATTCAGAATGTAATGGTAATGCAAGATGTTCCATTCATATCCGACATAAAAAGCTACAATAAACATAATCTGTTGCATGTTTTTGTATGTTTCAGGACAAGATATTGCGCATCATGTATGTGTGGGCCTTATGTCGGGACCAGGAGGAACTTGATCCGACAGCTGCTTGGAAACTCCTGGATATATCAGCCAGTTCTTCAGAACAGTGGTTATAGTTACACATTTTCAAAATTGTTTTGAGTCGAAAACAGGTGCCAGTTTACTCCGAATTGGACCTCAGAAATATGGAGTTCCACAGAGATCTCCAGAAGTGTGAAAATATACTTCTCTTCAAATGCAGTGTCATTTATAAATTGGCCCTTTTTTGTTTGTCTCATGAAGTCGGATGGCCTATATCCCAACATAGGTAATAATCTTGAAGTATTCATTTTGACCCTATGTTGTCATGGTACTCTTGATGCATCGAGTATGTTTGTCACAGAACCGTTTTTGTGATAAAACAAAGGGCGAGATTTGTATTTATAAAATTATAAAGTTATGGGTGGATGTACACTTTTGTGTGAATGGCTTTTTTTGATGATGCAACTGTGTTTGACTGTTTTTATTTGCAGAAGTCCTATTATGGTCTCGTGTTGAAGAGTGGATAAATATTTAGGACAATGTGATCAAACATGGATCATGTGTTTCTACCTCTTTTTATTCTGAGCAAAATTACTGTCTAGGCAAGAAGTCAAGAAGATTGCAATGTTTCAAGTGCATGTTTTTTTCATCTTTGACCTTTGAATTAGATTATGCACAAAGACAACACAAAGAATTTTTGATTTTCAAGGCATTTGATATATGCTCAATGCCTATAATTGCGATCTGCTGTACATTTGTAGGCCGAAATGCAGGGAGTGAACCGTACCGCTTTTGGCTGATTTTATTTAAGTAACCAGGGAATAGCTTCATGTGTTCCCTGTATTTGAGGAGGGATTTTTTTTTTCAGCTTTCACTTTAGTCACTTTTGTAAAACATTGTTGATGACATAAGTGGGAATGCTGTACTTTAGGATTTAAAAAATTTTTTTTGAAGGGACAAACCGATGCAGCATCAGGTAGACTTGAATTCCCAGTGTAGATCTATGTTCGGGAGTTAAGCACATAAATTGTGTTGATTTGTTCTTTAATTGTTTTACTCTCAGTTGAAATTCTGTTTCAAGTAAGTCTCACTCTGAATTTTATGAAGCAACATCTTTCTTAAGTCTGTAGATCTAATCATAATTACAAAATAAAGGTAGAAATGTTAATTTGAAATTTTTGTTGACCAGATGTGGGTCGATCTAGTATGTTAATTTTAGGGGTTTCAGTATTTTTATAGGTTCATGAAATTGTGATACAAGAGATGAACCTGGCATACAGCTCTTAAACAATGATCTTTGAATTCATGCTATAGATACAAAGAGCATAATGACAGCTGCAAACAAATGTACTGTTATGCTGCCGCATCCAAAATCCTATGAATTTGTTCCTGTCTTTTTTAAAAGAGATTGGGCTTATCAAACTGGTGTGAAGAGCTGTTTCAACACTCACAGCCTTCAAAATGATATGAAATTAAAAGAAATGAAAACGGGAGGAATGTGATGCTATTTCTTATACTAAGTGTGGCATGAAATGAAAGAGTGAAATGAAGAATTGAAAGCTTGTTGAAATATTTGGAGTTCGTGTGATTGTTGCATGTGATCAGTGATAGATTTGACTTTTTGACTGCAAGTTTGGAAGGTGAGAAAAATTCTTGTTTTACTGCCATTGAGAGTGATATGATAAAATGAAATGAAACGGCCATTAAAATACATTGTTTAAAAAAATGTTGATAAATGTTTCTCTTCTACTTTCATCTGTATGAGTACTACACCATATAAGTTTCTTAAAATTTTCTGAGCCTGCGTCTTATTTTCTTGAAGAGGTAAAAGAATTGCCTTTTCTTTTACACAATATAATTTTTCAGATTGAAATTCTAGAAAATCAGAATGTTTGTGAACCCTGCCTCCTTTTCTTCACTTTATTTGGATACATATCATTTTGGTCTGAGATTTTTGTAACACATACAAAACAATGAACTGAAGTAAATGGCATTTTCTTGTTACATTATGATGTACAGTGCAGCCCCTCTATAACGATCTGCGATATAACGACATCCTCTGTATAGCGACATGGTGCTCAGGTCCTGATTTTTCCCTTATATATCATTAGTAATATTTTTGGTTGCCTCTCTATAACGACAAATCTCTAAAACGAATTTTTTTTCTAGTCCCGCCGATATCGTTATAGAGAGGCTACACTGTATCAAATTGTTAATTTTTGTAGATTCTATAAGCAGAAAATATCCCTCGCCTGTAACTGAAACCTTTTCTCAGTTGAGTAGTATGTGCCCATGGAACATCAGTATGCATTATAATATGTTTCAATGTTGGTAACTTGTAAAAGCAGGGAGTGTAAAGTAGGCATTACTGGGGAAGAACTGGTTTAATAAAAATTTATGAAACTTAGTCCTTGAAACAAATAACTCAAATTATCTAAATCTACAACTCTGGCCATCTTTCACTGTGGTCCTTTTATTACAATTCTCTTCTCAGTGCCTCTGATATAGAGTTCAGGTGACCGCAAAGGCTATCTTTTTGACACTGTAACATCTGGTCCAAAATTTTTGCATGTGCATCGAGGTCAGACAGTGCTTGAGAAGCTTGCTGTTCATAGTCCTCACTGTCTCCAAATGTCTGAGAGTATTGAAGTATCACCATTCTTGATTCCTGTCCCAGTTCACGCAGTAATTCTGAAAAGTTTCTCATGCAGGCACTGGTGCCCTCATTCATGTTAGCAGGAGCTGGGTCACTTTCGTTATAATTGTACTGGTTTGGTGTTTGCTCTACTGCTTCACAATAGGGATCAATGAGTTCTGTTGATCTGTTGCTGCTGATACATACATTGCCTCTTTCGAGATCATGAGGATCATGTATTTTGTCTTCCTGGTTGGATAGGGAGATGTCTAACTGTTTTGTTGTGCTGTCTAGTCTTTGCTTCTTAGCTGTTGAATGTGGCTCCCAGGCTTCAGCCAGGACACCGGTACTGTCCACAAAGTCGCAATACTTAGCGGTTTCCATTCGGGCCTGAAATGAAAGAACAATAGAGTTCTAAGTTGATTGTGTCTATCTGCTGTTGTTTTACCTAGATATTTTACCTCAGCATGGACTGTATGCTTTAAAAAAGGGGATGAAAAAGTGGCTGCTAGATCTAGTTCATTACTGCACCCCTTCTCAATATTGATTGATTTCTTTGATATGAACAGCTTAGTGGCTTAGTGTCACAGGCGACTACGAATGAGTTGATGTTGTCGGGGGAGTGAAAAAAAGATAGACTGATCTGAAGTTCAACTAAACCATTGAGACCTGCAAAGAAGAAGAGGTGCTGGTACCTGAGAAAAAGATCAGCTTTACAGAAGATGCAACTCAAGCGAGTTCCAACACCAGCGGAGTCGACTGTACTTTTAAAAATCGTAAGTCAAAGCATATTTGAAAATTTCATTTCATGGAATGGGGACAGGCACATCATGTGGGCACTCCTTGTTAGTTTAGATGGTGGTATAGCTGGATTTTGGTGCGAATGGCAGTGGTTTGAATCCTCTAGGGGCATTCTTACACTCGGGTTGTTTGGAGATCTTTCAAGACTCTTCGATTGCTTGACTTGATCTCATTGGATATGTCATGTACTGTGTGCAAGCGCAGGTTCTAATTGCATGTTAGTTCGTCACTTCCTTATCCTACGGCAAACCCAGTAGAGAAATTAATCTTCTAAATTTATAAATAGTATTTTGATGACTAAAGGTATCACAAGAGTTTTTTTTGGGCAAGTTGCTTCAGATATATGTAATATAAATGAATGAATGAATGAAACTTGATTGATCTCTGTTGAGAAAGAATTCATGGTCATGTTCGTGGATTGAAAAATTCATCACTGTACCCCACCCCCCACCCCGCTGTCTGTCTCTCTGTCTCTGTCTGTCTGTCTGTCTGTCTGTCTGTCTGTCTGTCTGTCTGTCTGTCTGTCTGTCCTGTCTGTCTCTCACACACACACATACGCACACACACACACACACACACACACACATACATACATACATACATACACTTACAAACTAACACACCTACTACTACTACACACAGGAATTAAAAAACAACAATAAAAAGTTAAACAAAATTCTTCGGGACTGTTGAACTTGAACTCTACAATCTCTGCTGCGCCCCCCGGGGTAGGCCATTCCCAAAGGTGGGACATTTCTCATTCAAGCACAGTAGAATTATAAATGGGTTGATTCATGTCACGCTCATAACTGATCTACAACAGGGAACTGCTGCTTTTTCTTTCCTAATCCTTACTTTTGTCATTTTTCCCTTACTTCTTTTGTATGTTTGTCACTCTCTTGTGACCTGCTATTTCCGGGGTGCCTTGATAGTCGAAGCAGACCTTGTGCTGTTGAAGCTAGAGAGGTGAGTAGAATAAGTCTGATTCCCTGTAAAGACTTCTCTGTTGACACTCACCCCTTGGCGCTCATATGACCTAATGCAGTTGCGAGCGCCGTAAAACCCTCCACTATAAAAGAAAAAAATCTCTGCTTCCAAGATGTACTAACCTAATGATTTGGAAGACAGTAAAAGTATTCTTGTGCCTTTTTTCAAATTATGCACTTAACTTCTTGAAAATGGTATAATATATATCTTATCAGCACTTTTCAAGCTATGGTACAACTACAAGCCCTGAGAATAGCCTCAGCGCGCACATATATGTACAGCAGTACATTAGAGGTATGCATTTTTCTGACTTGGTGGTACACGCAACCTCTGTACTCTTTCAGTGTACCGTGCTTCCATGAGCAAAGGTTGATGCAAGCATTATATTATAAGACAAAACGTAATTTTAAGTGTTCACTGTTGAATTTGGTTTTTGTTTTCAGTTGACTTCAATATCTAGATCTATATATCTACTTATCACACTCACACGGGTCTACGTTAAGACAGGGTGCACATTGTTGAGTGTTGGTGTTAGGGCCTTTTTTTACATGGCAGGAACCCTTAGTAGATCTACTGATGGCAGGATATAAGGTGCTGGGAAGAAAACTAGATCTTTTAGTACGATTATAGACTAGATGCTACCTGCTACGTACTACACGTAGATATACATATACCCATATGTACGCCAGTAAATAATAGGACGAGGTTGTGATGAATTGTACATGTATCGTATCAGTACGGCATCATGTAGGGGTGGCATCCACTGAAAAATTTGCGCCTATTGGTGGAAAAAAAAGAGCGGTCTGTCTCTTGCCCCTTCAATATTTGGGATAAAAAAAAACTAGTACATTTTTGTACTAGATCTAATATTAATACAAACATTACCATAATATTTTTCTCCCAAATTCTACTGGTATAGACAGCAAAGTCAAAGGTTTTGGTTTCTTCTGTCGATCATCGACGGCGTCTGCTGGCTATCGTTGTTTTGCATCAGGGGGAATAATTCAAAATAACTTTTTTGTACGTTCGGAAAAAAACCCTGGTTATCTCTACTTGGCATAATTCACGCCGGAAATCGCTGTTGCTGCGAGTTGTCTCTCTTTTATTTACGGAAGTTGTCAAGGAAGAATCGATAGTGTGTAAACGAAACCTCCCCACGGAATAAGCTGTAAAGCTCTAGGCCTAGGCTATTTCGAAATACTGGCACCACCTATTTCCAACAGCATATGACGTCAGTGCAAATTTTCACTCTGATGTCATTTTTGCGTGCTGAGGTCTGTTTGATTAATTTGTGCAGATCATTGCAGATACACCGCCATTGTCCTTTAATCAATTTTTTGCAAGGTAGAACATACCCCACGATCAGCTCATCTCAGCATCTGTCTGTTCAATCACTGACGGCCAATCAAGAGACGCGAGTGTGTTGACCTATGAATATTGTATTTGATGGTAATGCGGGATCTCTTCCTGAGGCAGTGGTGTTATGGTGCCATTTGTTTTTTCCAGTGGAGTTCAATGGATTTTGGAAAATCATTTTGACTTGAATTTGAAGTGCGCACATTTTAATGTTAAGTTGTTCGGATCTTTTCTGTAAAAGTGCACTATTTTATTATGAATCAAATTTACCATGCAAACTCCTCATTTAGCTTCAGTAATTAATAAAATCTAAACAGACCTGTGGAAACAATCCCTGTCTTCAGATCTGAGACTCAAACACTCCAACTTCAAGTGAGGCGTTGATAGTGAGGAAGTTTTGGTGAAAAAAAATTGAAAAACCCCCACACAAAAGCATTCAATGAACCTGTCAATATTTCTCCAGCTACCATTTAGACTAAAGATCTATAGATGTGATACAAGTCATGCACATCCATTATGACAATAATCACTTATTGGGAACCTTATGAGGGTCACGAATGCTATGAAAATTTTGATCATTTGCAATATATTTTCGACAATATAGTGGTTCAGATGTAAAATATTGTGCCTACAAAATCCTAGACAATAACTTAGAGTGATTTCCTACGCATTTCTTCATAAACACACGAAAAAGCATAAATGAATATTGAAAACCTATTTTGCCACTGGTTATTTTGTAGTGTACTGTAAGATTTTCAACACACTGTGACAAATTCAAAAGCTGTCGGACAGAAATAAAAGTTTTTCATAGATTTTTTAAGCTTCACAAACCTTCAATTTTTACGGTAGTAGGCCTATTCAAGTTCTTTTAAACTTTTTACTATTGATAGACTACCAAATGGATCGAATGACAAATGTAAATGTTTTTGCTTAAAATATTATCATCCTTCTTATATGATTGTTATTCAAATCTGCTTTTGTGCTTTTATATTCATCAACTTCAGAAACTCACTCTGGTTTTTTATTTCATTTCAGAACTGACAGTTGTTGATATTGTGTGATTCCTGCTTCAATTGCCAAAATGACTGAAACAGTTAAAGTGGCAGTTAGGGTTCGCCCTTTTGTATCCTTACATTCTTGAACAAATTGAATTTACTTTCTTAAAAACAAATTAAATACATATGATAGTTTTTGTGTTTATTTGTGTTACCAGAACTATTATGGCTTTTTTAAAGGGGGCTAAGCATATTGTGAGAAGCATGTGTATTAATTTCACGGGAGTAGGAAATAACATTAGGTTGGTTTTGAAGTTTCAAGTTCGTTTATGCCAGCCAAATTCAAACTTGCTTTTCTACAGAAAGAAATTCATTGAACTAGATCTCAGTCCTGTTTTATCAATAGAGATTTTTTGTACTTAGGATGTGTAAAAGTTGAACAATGTATGGATAATATTATCCTCAATATCTTTATGATAACTTACGTTAATGTAATGAACTGATATAGGGCTTCTGACAGCGCCAGCTATCGTGCTAGAACCCGTCTGCTGGGACATTTCAGTAACCCACTTTCAGCACTTTTTAAGGACCCCCGGGCAAGTGTTGAGTTCCTGCGTGCTGTCGGCATCGCTGACCGTTTATGAAGCCACAGCGCCAGAAGAGAGAGAGAGAGAGAGAGAGAGAGAGAGGGCTTCTGACCCTGCTTGTCTGGGCCTGCCCGGGCTGAGAGGGATACAATATCTAAGCAGAAAGACCAAGATACTTGATATGGGGCAGCAAACCAGTGTTTTGATGTGTAATATTTGTGATGTCTATTGACAGCTAATTGGCTAATTGTTTCTTTTTTTTTTTTTTTTTTTTTACTAATCACTCATCTAACACTTTCAGCTCTGCTGATCATAGGAGAAGGACAAAGACATGGTCCAAATGTGAATGCAGATAGGAAGAGAAATAGTTAAATGAAGTATGTGATCACCGTAATGTACAAACTGCTTTCGCCTGCTAACACAGCACATCCCACTGAATTCCTACCTAAAGGATCTTCAAGGATACCCCACCCGACTGCTCGTCGTGTGACTGCCAGGATGAAACAGTATCACATCACTTCTTTACCTGCCTTGCACTAAGCGACTTGCGTAGTACCTACATACCTGCCTCTCCAGACATCGGAAATACTCTACACAACGACAAAACACAGCTGATAAAAACAGATGGAGGACTCACAAGTGTGGGAACCATGGTTGCATGATTACATGGCTGCACAGCAGAGAAAATGCTGATAGTATTTTAAAACCTGCAACTTGGAAGCATCAGTATTTTTTTAAGAAAAGGAACATTTTGATTTCCATTAGCATTACATCAGTTGAACTGATATAATAACTAGAATTAAAAGAACTGAATGACGGGGTTTAGTTGTTGGAATTGAAGGTGATCCACTGTAGATTTCTATATTGTGTTGACCAAAATTAGGACTGCGATATGCTTACAATGATCTAGAATTGTCATTTATTGGAAAGACGATTTGGACATGTGTTTCTTAAGAATTGTCAATTCCTTGAGACAAACATTTTTAGAGGTAATCAAATGAAGCAATTGTAGATTACGGAATGACTTTATTTTCAGTTCACATTTGAGACCTCTCTCTCTCTCTTTTTGTTTCTTATGAGATTTGTTATGTGCCCTTCCTTTTGAGAAGTTATATTATTGAAATGTTTGTGCTGCTTTGTGTCCTGGGCAACATTTTTTTTTTTCAAGCAATATTTTTTCGAAAGAGTTTCTTTAACCATACAAGAACTCCAGGGAAATCAATCGCAATGCTAAGCTCATCATTGAGATGTCTGGGAACCAGACCATAATCAAGGATCCAGAAAATATGAAAGCGGAACCAAGAAAATTTGCCTTTGATTACTCTTACTGGTCTCATGATGGGTTCAAAGAGAGAGCTGATGGTTATAATGAACCCGCAAGCAGTAAATATGCTGACCAGGTAAGCCAAGCATGGATTTCATTTCATTGTTGTGAATAATTTATATTTCTCATGGCTTAGATTGTTTTTAAAAGTTTAGTATACAAACCACTCTTTAAAGCTAAGTATGTCAGAAATACGGGTACCTCTTTATCCTCTGTCCATGTCAAACAGGACAAATTGAAATCTTTACTGAATCAAACTTTTTCTTTTACGAATTTACCAAATTTACCATTCTATTTGATAGGAAGTTTGCCAAAGTAAGCAATTTTACAAAACAAATATCAATGATTTTGGAAAATTTTGTGTTTATTGTATTATTATCCCCCCCAAATAATACCAAACTTAAACACTTAAATGAGTAGCCTACTTGAATTCGATAAAAAATGGTGCCTGTACACCATCAAAAACATTCCACTTGTTTTTTTAGTTCACATGCTTTTAATGAGCGTAGGGAGTTTATTGCTGTATACTTGCCTAACAATGTGCACCTTCAAGTATGATTTTTTTTGGATAGAGTATTCAAAATTCCCCCTGTTGATAAAAAGACTGAACTCTGTTTAGTGTTTAAAGGTAACTGTAAATGTGAATGGAAAGGAATAATGCTTGCCACCCTTGCGTTTTTGGTTTTTTAAAAATCATCTATATTACCTGTATGTTCCAGTGAACAGGTTCCTTTAAAATTCCTTTTTAAGTATTGTATTCGATTATCTCCTTATCTTGAACTTTAAAAAAAAGAGACACCCACTATATACTGTACTGAAGTCAGGAATGCAAAGACAATGACTGTTGAAAAATCTATGTTGTTGCACTTCAAAGCTCTTAAAGGGATCATTTTGGGAATTATTAAAAAATTTAATGCTCCGATTCTTCTATCTTTCTGATATACTTTTCGAAGCTCTGGTATTGAAGAAAATGCTTTTCCAACAGTGTTTTAGGAGTCAGTAGGATGGAAGTGTTATATAAACTTGACAACTTGATAGTGGGATTTGTTCATTTTGTAAAAAAACAAACAAAAACCAAGAAAACATTAGCCTATGCATTTGTTGAGTTTAAGCCTATTTTTTAAAAAGTTCAAATTGTTGAATTGATTTTGGAATCAATTAATTGGGAGAACTTTTTGACATCTTGAGGCTACTGGAATTTATCTATTTCAGTTTCTGTTCTGTTGCTTTCTCCCAGTGAGTCTTTAGGTGACTTTTCATTTTATGTGTTTTGTTTGTGTTATAGAGAGTGAGCTAGCAAGCTAATAGTCTCGTCACATGTCTGTTACAGAAAAAGGTGTTTGATGACTTGGGGCGAGGAGTTTTGGAAAATGCATGGAAAGGTTACAACTGCTCTTTGTTTGCCTATGGACAAACTGGAAGTGGAAAGTCTTACAGTATCATTGGTAGCCCTGGCAACAAAGGTATTGTTCCTCTCGTGGGTGAGGAGCTCTTCAGGGGCCTTGAGGAAAAGAGAAAATCAGCGGCTAAAGATGCTGATTTCCAGGTAAAGTTCGCATTTTACATTCACCATTCACATGAGTGCTTTTCTCATAGTATTTGTAATTGAAGTTTTCTTTCAAGGATTGTTAAAACAATAATCACTGACAGATATGTTTAGCTTTCAAGAACTTATGTACTTGACAGGACTGTTTATTAACAGTCTTTTAGATTCTGTTCTCATGTCGGCTGAGCTATAACCCAGTATAATGACATGAGTCAAGATGTCATTTATGTCTCACCCCCGATGCGATAAAGGCTCCTACTTATAGTTTATATTGAATGCACGCTTTTATTATGACGGTGTAAAGCGAAAGAAATTCTTTCTCACTGTTCCCAAAGCATTGGATATATTGAGCTTTAGTTTCTACAGATATATCTTAGAGTTAATTGTGCCTTTTTATTTAGAATCAGTTAAACTGTATAAAGTACAATAATAGTGCATCTTTTGCAATTGCATTAAACATGTTTGCACTGCGATATATTCCCTCTGTTGAGATAAATATTGTGGAAAATTATTTTTTTCAAATATGGCTGTGGCAATTGATGCCCACCCCTAGTTCTACTGCAGTCTGAATTTATGTACATACTGTCTCAATTTGTTGGCATTCCCATGATCTTGATCGATGCACACTTTACAACAAACTATGCCAGTTAGGCTTTACTTTTACCAGTATAGTATGTTATAATCTTCCCCTAGTAATACACACACAAATATATGCGCATATTCACAGACACATGCATGCTCACATTCATAAAAACACACCACATGACATATATATTTATAATACACATGCAGTGTGAAATTTATCTTAATGCACACCTTGTTTAACAGGGAGATTATTTCATGAAGCCTGGCTGTATTATTAGTTTGAGGGATTCTACCTCTAATATCATTGTTTTTTCCAAATAAGATTGTAGAAAAAATAATTTAACCTTTAGTTAGGAAGATATATAGATCCTATAAGCAACCTATCTTCATGCTATGGAGTAATGTATAGTATGAACGAAATGACATTAACAAGAATAAAATTCCATGGGATCGCTCTTGTTTGGTATTTTAAAATGACTCGTTTCAATTTTTTAAAGGTCCATCTTAGCATGATGGAAATCTACAATGAACAAGTGAGGGACCTTCTCTCCTCCAAAGCAGCTGTAAAGGGTGGACTCCGAGTGCGCCAGCACCCCGCCAAAGGATTTTATGGTGGGTAATGATAAAACAATTTGTTTGTGTATCAAAACTGATATACCACAGTCACAATTCGAGCACCCTCTTGTGCTGATTGAAATAATTCCTCTGGTAGAAATTATAGAGAAATGAGAGTAAAGTGGGACTTCAAGTATTTTAGTTTTAATTTCTTATAACATTATTTCCTCACATACCTCAACACAACTGATATTTTATAAAAGTTCATATTACTTAATAAAAAATATTGCAGTGCCTCATCAAAACCTGAGAAAAAATAAGTGAAATGATTGCACTTTGAGATACATTATGCCTAAATCCCTAGTTATTGGTGCTGCAACCCCAGATAACTATAATTTTGGCATGATCAAGACAGAAAGAGTTTAAAAGCTTCAAGATTAGGTAATTCTTTATCTTCTCCTTTTTTGTGAAACATTAATTAGTTCAGAGACAGAGTGTGTCATCTGTCAATTTCATAGCTCTAAAAGACAAATACAAAAAGCACTCTCATCTTTATAAGACTTTGACTGTTCCTCAGTATTAAAAAGATTCCTGAATATATTTTCAGATATTTTGTAATCCCATTCTTATTTTATTTTCACCCTTATGGCACTGTGTAAACTTTTCTTGGATTTATTTTTGGACTACACATTTTATGTATCTGTTGGAACTTCTTCAGTATTTTATATTATAAGCTTAGATGTGTCAATTAAAACAAACCTTTTCTTCGTCTTTCTCAGTGGAAACTCTCACATCATCACCTGTAAATAGCTTTTCTCATATTGAAGCAAAGATGAATGAAGGAACAACAAACCGCACCATTGCTTCTACAAACATGAATGCCACTAGCAGGTGATTGCAATGTTTTCCTTAGAATTCTTTTCCCGAGTCAAATTATGGCAGGATCATGCTAAGATTGCAAAGGTTCATATAGTAGGAAAACAGTATTACGTTAAGGCACATAGCTCTCTTAGCCTTGGAAGGTTTTAACAATGTTTCTCCTGATTCTTTTAGCAGAATGGGAAAAGTGAGCCAGAGGTAGTATTATTAGATTCATGATTCTACCCTCATAAACTATCAAATTGTAACATTTCTACTATTTATGAAGAAATGAACTGGATAAAGAGTGAGAAAAGCAAACTCTATACTATTCATACAGATGTGAAAGCAAAGCAATGTTAAAAATGAAATGACAAAGGCAAACAAACAACCAAAAAACAATGCATGATTCTGAACTTCTCCAATGATAGATGTGGAACACTTCACAGCTAGTCATACTAAGCAGTCTGTGCAAATCTCCGACCCATAGTTCAGGTGTCCATTCAAAGGATCTGGCTCCTGCAGTAGGGTGACAAGACCTGCTGGTATGAAATCTGCAGCTCAATCTTTGCCCATGCTTAGAGAGTTAGAATTTTGTCCAGATAGATGTATTTGTTGTGGGGTAGTAAAAGTGAACAGCAGCAAGGCAGGCCTCGACATGAAAAGCAAGAAAACAAAAACAATGGTCTTATCAAAATCTTCTGGAAAAACAACATAGATGGGGAGACAATCAAACAAGTGCACCAGTTCAAATATCTAGGGGCAACAATCACAGATGATGGAAGAAGTGAAAAATAAATAAACATAAGAACAGCAGCTACAAAAACAAGATTCAGCCAAATGTACAAACGATTTGAATCCAGGCAACTATCTCTCACTTTAAGAAAGAAAATGCTGGAATGCTACATTTTCCCCATATTCCTATATGGTGCAGAGATCTGGACTTTGACAAAGAAAGAAGAAAATTAAATAAATGCGTTTGAGATGTGGTGCTTTCATACAATGGCCAGAATATGTTTGGAAACAAAAAAGACAAACAGTGAGATATGTCAGATTCTACACACAAGACAAACCCTGCTGAATAAAATAAAATGTAGAAAAATACAATACTTTGACCACTTTAAAGGACACGAGACTATTGTGAAAGAGGTTCTTGAAGGAAAGATGTATGGCAGGAGAGCCAGGGGCAGACAGAGAAAAGCTTGAATGGATAACATAAGAACATGGACTAGCCTGAATATGGCTGAATGTGCAACAGCAGCTTGTGACCGTGAAGGATGGAGGGTCATAATACGCCTACCTGAGTCAGAGATGACATGATCTCCAGTAGTAGTATTTCCTTGGTGTTTTTTTTCCCTCTGAGAGAATAGATGTGTAAAACAAGATTTATTTTGACCACTCTTGGTTCTGTACTTTGACAGTTGGTATTTTTGATGAGAAAAATAATGTGCAAGATTCAGCTTAAGGTTTCAGTGAACACTGGGTAAATATGTATTATTAAACATATTCCTAAATACTGTCAAAACAGAGCGCATCATGCATTTTCCTCTTTTGAGACTTCCTTACAATATATTTTGAAATCATTATTATCTGTGTATTGAGGGTTTTGGAAAAAAGAGAACTGGAAGAAATGTGTTATACTTCATATTTTAGTGACTAAATAAAGCTTAAACTGCGTTTACTAATTTATTCTTTATTTCAAAATTCTGTAACTTCTGGCTGCATGTGACAACTGTTGATGTTTTTTTCAGTCGAGCTCACACAATTGTGGCAATGACTTTTACACAAAAGGAGAAGAATGAAGCTGGTCAAAGTATGACAAAGACATCGATTATCAACATTGTGGATTTGGCAGGCAGGTGAGCACTGCATATGAAAAAGAACACTATGTGAACATGTGCAGCTTTACTCTTTACTCTTCTCCAGTGTGTGTCTTAACTGTATGATGTCTTTTTGGATAGATGTAATTCTCTTGCTGGCGAATGTATGCTTTTCCTATCACCCTTGGTCTGGGTATATGATCACATCCAATCATAAAGTATGGCTGTGTTCAAGAGATGATGTAATCTCTTTTTCTATTTTAAAAAAAATTAGTTTTGTTTTAATCCTCAAGTTAATGAAAGGGTTCTCATTTCCAACATAACTGCTGAAAATTGAACTGTGCAAAGGCATACTATGTACATGTTACAGTGTTTTTGGCTGAAAGTTAAGTTCATGAAATGGAGAACAAAGCAAAAAAAAAAAAAGAATTTAAAGTGATATTTGATAATCTATCTTGCACCACCTTAAGGACAGCTCTCAAGATTTCACATCCCCTTCTATCTCACCTCACATTCCTTTGTACCATCTGATAATACACTGTTCAGTCTGAATTTTGTTCGTCACATGTTTTGTTTTTATCATTTTGCGACTACCAGTGAGAGGGCAGACAGTACTGGTGCAACCGGAGACCGTTTGAAGGAGGGTTCTGCCATCAACAAGTCTCTGAGTACCTTGGGAAATTGTATCAAAGCACTTGCTGACATGGCTGGTGGGAAGAAGAATGTACTTGGTAAGATGTCTGTATTTTTAAGTTATAAAGAGTTAAGTAATGTAATTGTTCTTTCTTTATGACACCATGATATCAGTTGTTTTGTCACATTTCCCTGTTCATATATGTCTGACTAGGCTTATTTTTTAAACACAGGACTAAGAAAAATGGAGGAAGAGAAAGAAAGACAAGGTAGAAAAAGAAGGAAAAAAGTAGCCTAGGTATTTTTGCATTTTTTCTTCGAAACAAATAACATCTCCTTTTCCCTCTTGACTGCCTTATTTTTTTAACAGAAAGGAAGAGAAGGTGCAGGCTAAAACTAATCTCATGTCAAATTGAAGAATGTTTAACTTTTCCCTTATTTGTTATACTTTGTACCTCATAAAGGATTTTTTGAAATGAGTAATCTTGTATTGATTGTTATAATTTCAGTTCCATTCCGAGATTCTGTTCTGACAAAGCTCCTTAACAATGCTCTGGGGGGAAACAGTAAAACAGTCATGGTAAGGCTCAAGTTATTCTTTTTCAGTTGCCTTTTCATTGTCAAATATTGTGATGACCTCATTAGCATTATTTTTGCCAGAGGGTACTGGGGTGCGGCCGTGAGAACAACGAAGCGGAATAAGTCATTTCACTCAATTGTTATATTTGGATACTTTCCAGGGCTCTTTTTACTGTAGTTAATGTAAGGAAGATGAATCGTCCTAACAATGTCTTAAGCTGGATATAACATTGGCTGGAATGGTACTATTAATTCCTTTAGAGTTGGGTCTTTTTAGTATCACTGTCAAAATTTGTATTCATTCATATAAGATCACTTATCTCTTTCAACTCATTTTGGTTGGTAGCTTTATGAATTTCTGCCTTAGCATTGTTTTGTTTTATTTTCATTTAAAGAAGACAATTTGACTTTCATTGTTGACCTTTTGAGATAATGAATCAAGTCATAGGTGAAATTAATTTTATGTTAATCTGAGATTGAAATGATAATTCACAACTTTCATCAGGTTGCTGCCCTCAGTCCTGCAGACATCAACTATGAAGAGACTTTGTCCACTCTTAAATTTGGTAAGAGAAAACTTCAGTTGTCCATTACAAGTTTTGTTTCCATCATTTTCTGTTGTTGTTGTTGTTGTTGTTGTTAGCGATCCAGTAGCATCTGAACGTTAACTCTTCTGCATGATGCCATTCGGTAATAGTTGCATGTTTGTTCTAATTGTTGTCTTGAGGAGTAGAGGCAATTAGATGTGTGGGGTAGCTTGGGAAGAAAACATCCCCTTAAATCAGTTAGTTTTCTGCAGAAGAACAGATGATGTTCCACTGTATCTGAGGAGTAGTCACATAGTGGGCAAGCAACAGACTGCTTTACTCCAATTCGGTTGAGATGTTGGTTGAGGGGTACATGTTGTGTTCTAAGTTGGAAGATTATGGATTGATCTCCCCTCCTCAACTCATTCCATCATTTTCTAAACAGCTTCATTTTATTGTATGAGGAGGAAATATAATTGGTGCTGACAAGTTTTTGCTGTGGGAACATTTTATTGAATCTGTTACTTCATAGGTTTGACACCATAAGTGTGTTGATGTTTCGTCTTTTTGTTGGGTAATTTATGTTTAGAAAGGGCTGGGGAATGTGAAGCAATGAGCAAATGCTGCAGCTTAAAAAACCCCAAGATATTATAGGGTTTTTTTTCGTTAAAAAACAAACAAACTGAGTTTGAACTTTGCATAGCCCTCTTCAAGGCTCACTTTGAAAGGCAACTGAGTAAGGAACTTTTGCGTTTTTTCTTTGTTTTTTTTGGTTGATAACTTGTGATACATTTTTAAAGTATGCTTTCTTAAAAGTCATGGCAGGATTAAAGTTATGGCCGGGATAATTAGCCAAGACAAATGAGAAAAGTTTTCATAATCTTATTGCTCATTTTTTCCCCCACAAATAAATTCTCTTTGAATTTATATAACTGTTGTGGAAGTTGAACAAATTCTTGATTGTCTGAGATTAAAAAAAATAAAAATTCATGTTCTCTCAGCTGACAGAGCCAAGGCAATCAAGACATCGGCTGTCATCAACGAGAGCCCAACTGACAAGCTGATCCGAGAGCTGAGAGAAGAAAACCAAAAACTGCTGGAGATGCTCAAGGCTGGAGGTGTTGGGGCCGGGGCTGCTGCAGCGGGTGGATCAGCTGCTTCAAGCCAGGGTCAGGATCTGTGCTTGCTGTGTGTGTGTGTGTGTGTGTGTGTGTGTGTGTATGTGTGTATGTGCGTGTGTGCATGTGTGTGTGTATGTGTGTGTGCATGTGTGTGTGTGCGTGTGTGTGTGTGTGTGCTTGTGTCTGTTTTTGTGTTTGCTTTTGTGTGTGTGTGTGTGTGTGTGTGTGTGTGTGTGTGTGTGTGTGTGTGTGTGTGTGCTTGTGTTTGTTTTTGTGTTTGCTTGTGTGTTTGTTTGTGTGTGTGTGTGTGTACATGTGTGTGTGTGTACATGTGTATGTGTGTGTGTCTTGATTGATAATAACATGTGTGTGTGTGTGTGTGTGTGTGTGTGTGTGTGTGTGTGTGTGTGTGTGTGTGTGTGTGTGTGTGTGTGTGTGTGTGTGTGTGTGTGTGTGTTTATGCTTCTTTATACATATACAAGCGTACATGTGTGTATGTGTGTGCTCAGATGAATGTTGGTGTCTTGATGTTTATTTACTGTAAGCACAAAAACATGTCAAGTCAGGCTTACACATATTCTACAACATGGCACATAGGCAGTCGCTTATATTCTGTGGTCTTGAATTTGAACACTTACTGTGAATTACTTTTACAAATAATCTTACATAAATGTCACTTTCAGAGGTTGAAGAAATGAAAAAACAAATGGAAGAACAAATGGCTGCCAATCAAAGAGAACTGGAAGAAATGAAAAAGTCATGGGAGGAGAAACTGAAGGATTCCCAGGCAGATTCTTTGGTGAGTTCAAAAATGTTTGTTGATTGTTTTTTAGATAGGATTTAAATGTAAGGCAGCGTGGTGAAATCAGACGCTTGTCAAAATAACGAAATCGGAGAAATAGGCATTTTCCCACCGCTAGTTTGGAAATTTTTATCGAATTTTATTTTTCCGGCTTAACTTCTTTTATGCCCATATAAAAACAGATTCCCTTGTGAGTTTTACTGAAAAACATTGATTAAAGGCACAAAATATGTCATTTTAAATTTTGCCAAGAGTCTTTAGTTATAGGAGTTACAAATTTTGTCGGCCATTTTCTCGCTACTATCACAACTGAAACCAGGCGACATCACTTCCTTCAAATGCAGATATCTTGAGTTCTATTTAAGATAAATTTCTATTTATTTCATTGAAAGCAAGGCAAATAAATCAGCTTTCAAATGATACCAATAACTTCACATGCACAAAAATTGATGAGCACCTGATTCCACTGCGTCATAACACAAATAGACTTGTGTATAAGATAGGTATAATTATTATGCAGTGCTGTTTTGAATTCAGATATCCAGAGTAAATTATTGTTCAAAATGTGTCTGTTTCATTTTATTCTTGGGGAAGAGTCACGCTTTTAATCAGTTTCAGGAGTCTGATCTGTTTTGTTTAGAAAGACACTAGGTGGAAATTAGATCACATATGCTCAAAGAAATTAAGAAAAAGAAAAAAAAAATATTTTGCTATTACTTTTGAAAATCCACATAGCAAAATTTCAAACATTTTGTTAGACATAATATGCTTTATGATGGTAAGTTAGCTTCTAAGAGGGGTTGAAATCCCTTCTATGCCTACTTTATTTATGTACATGATGAATAGAACGGAAGTAGCTTTCAGGTTGTTACCCATTTACATGTCTACAAATTTTATATTACATACGTGGAATATGGTTTACAGTAGAATGGTGTACTTTATCGGAGTCAAGGGATCAAGGTCTCGAAAAACACATTTTATTACATGTGGAAGGTATTTTAATAAGGCAGAAGTTACATGGTCTAATAATCTTCTCAGCTTACTTTGCTATATATTTTTGTACCTTAATAAGACTTATTAGTATTTCCCATTCTTTTCAATATGAGGACATTATGGGTGGGTGGTTGGCGGGTGCTCTGGTGCGGTCTGTTCCTTCTTTTCTATCAAACATCTATCCTTTTTATCTCTCCTCCTTCTTTTTGTGTTTTGTCACTCTCTTGTAACACCTCAAATATTTGACACTTACATGACCTAATTGTGTTGCAAGTGCTGTAAAAGGCTAACTAAAACTTAACTGGACATTATTGTGCATTACATCATTCTTTCTGAAATGTACTTGCAGGCAAAATTGGAGGCAGAGAAAAAGAAAACAGAAGAGAGGAAAGTTACCCCTCACTTCTGGAATCTGAGTGAAGATCCAGCCTTGACAGCGATGATTATACATTTCTGTCGAGAGGGTAAAACTTTTGTCATAGCTATGATTATAAAAATACCAATCTAAATCAGAAAGATTTGCTGAAATTTTGAATTATTTGTAACTGAAAGATGTGCTCACGATGCACTTCATGAGATTCAATACTAAGGTCACATATTCTTAAGGTTTTCTAGTTTTGTTCTTACTGAATGTTGCTCATAGTTCTTAGAAAGTTATTTAACAAATTTTCAAATTCATCGTAAATTTCATATGAATTTTTTTTTGCCTACCCCATTTCTTGTGTTTTGTTTGTGTGGAAATAACTTTTATAACCATAAAGCTTGAAGAATAAGTTTCTTTATAAGTTTTGCGTCTTCAACCATTGTGCTATCTGTTAAGACATTCCCTGTACTTGGTGTGACAGGCTAGATGTTTCTTGTCAGTAAGTTTGCAAAGATAATCTAAATGAGCAGGTATGGTACTGCTTTGAGGTTTACAAAAGTCTTGTGTAATGTAACAAGTCTGAATAGAATTTAGTTCTTTCCTGTTATGAAATTCAAAGCTATTCCATTAATTTTGCAGGCACTGCCAAGATTGGGAACAAGAATGCGAGTCCAGCTCCTCAAATCTTGATGAATGGTCTCAGGTAAGGCCTCGCATTACTGCTCCTCCTTTGAGTTATAACATGGACTGTTGTAACTAATTTGTAATATGAGAAATCTCTTGCCCCATTTTAGATGATGGTTCAACTCATAAGAGATGGTTACAAATGAGAATCTTATGGTTTATGAAATCTTTGGAGGCTGATACATGTAATGGTAATTCCAAAATCTTGTAAAGATGTATCATGTAGTGAGGGAGTTTTCTGGAAGAAATTTTGTTTTAGTAATGGCTGTGGTGAATTTGCGAAGGGGACCGAGGGGGGGGGGGGGTTAAAAATAGCTCTGTATACCCAAGTCTATTGTCTATTTCATTGTATTACATCCAAATTGTTTCCTTTTTTTCTGAAACAGTGCACCTGGTTGGCTTTGTTGCTTATGATGATATGCCATTCTGTACTGTTCATATTAAACCCTTTGAGGTTGTTTTTATTGGTAGAATTTCCTCTTTGAATATTTGTTTCTACTGGAAAAAGGACACGATGAGATATCATTATGTATGTATTTAAATTTCTACAAATTTCTTTTAAGACTGAAATAATTGTTTGTGTTTTTTAGCGTATAGAACAATTTCAGAAACTATATACTTTGAACACAAGAAGACAAATGGCTTTCATTTGTATACTTTACAACACTGATAACATGTTTTCTGTAATTTTTCGTCAGTATTTTGAAGGATCATGCAACTGTCACCAACAAGAAGGGAACAGTCTCCTTGAAGCCTGTGGGAGAAGCCAAGATCATGGTGAATGGCAAAGTCATCAAGCAAGACACAGAGCTCCATCATAATGACAGGTAAATGCATTGTCATTATATTACGGCTTGCTTTGTCCTTGATTTATTGTGTTTGGCTCTCAGCATGGCTCTTTTACTTCTACTATTATTTGGTGCTGTCTTCCTCGTGAAATGTGGCTATTTCTGTACTATCTATCTCTAAGTTTTAACTTAACAACAACTACCCTTGAGGTATGATAATAATAATAATGATAATATTAACATTAATAATAATAATGATAATAATAATGATAAAAGATTGTATTTAAATAGCACATATCCCTGCATGAAAGTAGGCTCTGTTTACTTACAATTTATCATTGTCCTGTAGACCTTTTGGAAATATTCTGAGCTTTCAGGGAAGCACTCGGTGCCAGCTGCTATTTTCCGGGTTCTTAAACACTAATGTATGAACTATATTTTTCTCTATCTTAACTGGATACCCATTCCTATTTGAGTGAAGAGAGGAACATTTGTGTAAAGTGATAAACTCAGACAGAGATTCAAATTCATGTCCATATGGTTGTTAGTTAACCCCTAAACCACCAATGCCATGTAATTTTTTCCTGATGTTTTAAGAAAATTAAACTGTTAGCTCAGCCATAGTCTAGAAGCATTGAAGCCAATTCACTTACGGAAAAGATATAATAGTATGTTAGAAAGAATACATCTTAACACAATTTCCATGTCAGGATGGTCTTGGTGTTTAGCTGTAAACACATATAACAGTTGTGATAATGCTCAAGCTTTTAATGACTCAAAAGTTGCAGTTGGTTTAGATCATTTTTTAAATGTAGTGGTTGAAATTGTCTATTATTCATCTCACAAATCTCCTTAGTTAATGTCTCACAATTTTACCGTTTTCTGAGTGAAAATGAATTTTGCTGAGCTCATAATAGTTTGTTGGTCAATGTCTGATGATGACCAATGCATTTGCAGAGGAAAGTATTTCTTAAAGGAAATAGAAGAAATAGGGATTAAGATGTCTTTATGGCTTCTGCTATGGCTAATGAGACCAATTTGGGCTTCACCATTTCTAATTCATGAAGCCTCATTTGATATTCTGCCCTATGTGATTGCTGCTCTCCAATTGGGTCAGTCAGGAGTTAGGCTCTCCCATGTCAAGGGATTAATGTTGAAGTCCTTCATATACATTTTCTAGGCTCATAGTCTTTTCAGTAAATTTTTTATGGTCTTTATCTTTAGGGTACTCTTTGGCTCCAATCATCTGTATGTGTTCCATCATCCTCAAGATGAAGCTAAGCAAGTCAAAGCGGGAAAAGGTGTCGAGGCACCTACTTATGACACTGCTCAAGAAGAAATTGCTAAAGAATCTGGTTTGATGGCCAACACTGATGGCAAATCCAAAGGTAAATTGCACCCAAGCATAGCTTTGTTTTATTTCTCTTAAACTCATGGAAGCTGATATTGGCATTCAATGGCAAAAGCAGTTGAAGTTAAGATCACTATGTAGCTCTGGTTCTACAGTGGAACTTACTAAGGTGGAAAACAGTGTAAGGTGGAAATTTGGAAAGTTGGAATCTCTTGGCATTCCCCTATGTCCCCTATGATAAATTGTCATAGATTGAACCAGTGTAAAGATCTTGTATATTTTACAATGAATTAAGGGTCTATCAGATACTTGGTCAAGAATATAATTTATTGCTGATTTAAAACTATAATATATCAAGGTTGATTGAGCTTGTTGTTTATAGAACACATCTTCTCTATACTCTGCCATGACTTTTAAGATAAGAGAAATTGTTTACTATTGTTTTTTTCCTAGAGGATTTAGTGTTACAAGAGGATCTGGTTCAGCTGCTGCCTATGGTCAGCGAGGCCAATGCTATGTCAGAGGAACTGGACAAAAAGGTCAAATTTGAGATCTGCTTGATCTCAGCTCGTGCAAGGGGTTTGAAAGAAGGCCCGACTGAGGTAATTTTCTGGTCTAGACTAAAAGAGTCTTGATACTGTGTAGAAAGTATTTTAGGATATTTTAAGTATTTTCAGACTGGATCATGACATTTGTAGATGAATTTACAGTGAAACCTTATTTATTTTATGGTTTTGGATGCTACATAAGTTTAGCTCTTATAAATGTGTCCTTAGGAATCATCTATGTCTACCCTTTTTGAATACTGCTACTTTTGGAAAGAAGCTGAAGAAATATGCTTAAACTTAGTCTGTTGTATACATGTGAACCGTTATTTTCAGGTGAAGATCAAGATGAAGAATTTGGAGAATGGCAACGCGTGGTTGTTGGACCGCAACAATTTCATCAACAGGAAGTATCTGATGCAGGAAATGTACCAGAACTTCATGGAAGGTGATACTGACTGGGATGTATCCAAGGTATTGTAATAAAAAATAAAACCAGTTCGAACAAACTGTTGGTTTCCTCAGCTATGACAAGATTAGGATTGTGTTTTCTTCTCAAAATAATGTTTCTTGTAGCAAGAGCAGAAAAGGTTAGAAAAGGTACTTGTTCATTTCATGGCTTTGCCCATTTGGTTGTTATATGACAAAATATATATTTTTCCTTGCTCTTTAAAAGGGCTGTTGTAAAGTAAACTAAATAAAAAGAAATAGGTTTTTCCTTTAAAAAAGATACTGATGCTATTATAAAGGTTTTAAAATCGTATTTTCAAGAATTGCACTCTTTGCAAATAACAGATTTCCACACTGTCCTGTTCTTTCCTGTACCAAGTGTACCCTCTCTGCCAATGATCAGGCAGGTCAGCTGATCTTGTGACATGAAGAAAACATTCTGCAGAAATACTGTCAAAATAGTCTAAGGTGACCACTCATTGTTGAAGAGAAAAGTAATTCTCTAAATAAGTGGATATCTTAGACAGAGTTATTATAATAATTTTTAAAAATCCGGGGTGCGAATTGTTTTTTTTCAACATGTGATTGTCTTAGACTGTTGGCCATAGCAAGAGATCGACTGTAGGTGCTGATGAAATAGCGTTCTTAAAATCATCTCTTATCTCCATGAGTCTTAATGGAACTGATTAAAAGTGGACAAATGTAGGGAAAGTATTTTCAAACAGTTGTCTCACATGTTACTGTTGCTCAATAATATAATAATTACATTTTGTGTGCTCTTTTGAGCAGATGTGGATGCATGTGTTAAGGTTTGTCATTGGGGAAACATTTTAAAAAAATTAAATAATTTTTTTTTTTAAAGGAAAAAGATCCATTTTGGGAACCTCATACAACACCAGTGATGATTGGTACAGTACATGTGTACATGCAGCCCATAGCTCATCTCATCGACATGGATGAGAATATGGTCATTATGGACATCAAAGGACAAGAGACAGGTAAGGTTCATAGTTCATAGCTGAATGAGGATTCTTCTGTGATGGGATCTGTTTTCAGTGTGTGTAAAGTCTGCCATTCTACACAGGTTGTGAGATGAAGATTTTGTTACGTAAGTAATCTAAAAAAAAGTGTAGATATATTACAGATACTTAAACATAATTATGTTGCAGGTTCTTCAGGACAGCGCTATCAAAGATGTGACTAGATTCATAATATAGTGTAAAGGATTGGAATGGATGGTGGGGAAAAAAACCCTCAAAATGTTTGGAAGAAAAGAAAATTTAATCAGTGTCGGATAGTAGAAGATGATGAATTTCATTGCGCTGTAGAATGTTCCTGGCTTGAGAAGAGATGGGACAGGGTATTTAATGGCCATGTAGTGTTTATGCAATATATAAATCAATTTACTTCATAACATTGAAATGTTTTTGTACAGGCCACTTGCTGATTGGATCTATTCCGTGTGATGCTAAATGGAAGACACTGCCTGAAGATGTTTTTGCTGATGATCCTAAAGAATTGGTAGGTCAAGGACTTCTATGTGCACCGACATGCTTTTATTTTACAAGGTCTTTTAAAGATTAAACTTCAATTTGATTCATTTGTATAACCATCTGCGTTTGTGTAATGAAGTAATGGTTAGGCCCGTCATCTTTGAATACAGAAGACATGATTTTGATTTCCCATGGGGGGGGGGATGAGACAAATTTACAATGACTTACAGGTGTAATCGAATGGAGATAAATAATTTGTTGGGAAGGTTGAAGTGGAATATATATCTAACTGTACTCTTACCATTTTGAAAACTGCATTTGTTGGGTTGTTTTTTTTAGACTTTTGAATTAATCAGGTACCTTGAGATTTTGTATTGTGCCATTGAGGAATACTGGTGTCTCCACAGAGTGGCAAAGCTCTCTACTTCAAGTTCTCAATCAAAGGAGCAAGAGGGATTCCTGCAAATTTTGACACAGTATGAATTGCATTCTATTTTTATTTTGTATTATAACAGTTTGTACTCCCCATAACTGAGTACCATTATTTCAATTGTCTGGTTAAAAACACTGTTGTAAATCCTTTATATAGTATTATTACCGGTATTATTAATCAAAAGGTCTAATATAATTTTTTTTTCATACGAAATAGCAAAGTCTTCACTCTCTAAAAAGGATAATTTTAGGAGAGATTTAGTTTTAGTATAGGTATTACGGTGCTTGCAACTTTATAAGGTCATATGAGTGCCAAAAGATTAGAGGTGTTACAAGAGAGTAATAAAAAATAAAAAAGAGAAGAAGGGGAGATAAGGACGATAGATGTTTGATAGGAAAGAAGAAAGAAAGAAGCAAACCACACCAGAGCACCCACCAACCACCCTCTAAGAGAGAAAATATAAAAGGTTGTTGGTGGGGGCAAAGGAGGAGACTGACAGAAACTTTTAGTTTTGGTGAGGTTCATTTTAAGATGGGATGTTTTAGGGGAGGAAAAAAAAAGGGTAGTGGTGGGTTGGGGGGGGGGA